TCTGTTCTAGGTCCTTCAGACTGACGTCTTTAGGGTCTTTGATTTCTGCTGCATGCTGATAATTCTCTAACTCCTATCACTTGACTGCTAGATTTGACGGGACTGGTTTTACCACCATGACAATGCACCTGCTCACACAGCCTTCTCATGCGGCAGTTTTTAGGCAAAAAATCTGCAAGCCTCTTTTGCTCGATGAACCTTACTCACCTGGCGATGAAGCTTACTCACCTGGCCCTGGCCCTGCTCCATGTGACTTCTTTTTGTGTCTGTGAATAGAGAGGGACATAAGAGGACAGTGATTTGATGAAGTAGAAGAGATGAATGTAAAAATGGAGGAGGTGCTGTCAGCCATCCAAATAGATGTTTGAAAAATGTTTCCAAGCATGGAACTGCGGAGTTGACAAATGTATTAAGTGTTGTGGCTGGTATTTTGAATGAGATAACATTGTTTTATTAAAAAAATTAAATACATAGCTTTGAAAAAAATCTTTTCTGGGGGGTTACCCCCTCATATAATAACATATATAATACATATTTAAATAAATTGTGCATTTTTAATATTCTTTTAGCCCTTGTTTATTCTAAACATTTTATTTTTTAAAACTTTCTCTACTTTGGGAAAAATTAAAAAATTTATATGAAGTACTTCTGTCATTTTTTAAATTATTATTTGAGAAGATGTACTTGTTTGTCATTAAAGACTCATTAATTTTTTAAGTTAGATTTTGTGGTGAAATGAAATTGCTTGATGTCTTTGTCTTGGTTCTTTGGAGAAATGAGACCAATGATATTTATTTATTTAAAGAAATTCATATCAAGAAAATGACTCACATAGTTGCAGGAACAGGCAAGTCCTACTCTGAGCAGGTTCCATGTTCCTGAGTCAGATGTTAGTCTGGAAGCCTCTCCTGGTTCATGGAGCTGTAGGAGCTGATGGACCCAAGAGTGGCAGAAAGGAGACAGTCTGGTGACTGCTAGGGAGAATGAATCAAGGTCACAAGGTCAAGCTCGTGGCTGCAGAGGCAAATAAATCCAGAGTTGGCCAGTCATTTGGCCAGATGCAGAAGACTTCCAGTATCAGCATACAGTATGGCACACTGTTGGCTCAAGTAAAAAAACAAACTGGAGGTTGATGAGTAAGATGCGTGATACAGAACCAGCAAAAAGCAAATTGTTTCGCACAAGGTCAGCTTACGCTGGAAGCAGGGCACATACCAGAGGAAATTAATTGCATCAAGGCTGTGGCTTGAGTAGGTTTGTTGTGTTGCATCTTTTGGAGGAATATAATTATGGAAGTCTATGATTGATTGGCTATCATATTGTGTTAAGTTAAGCCATGAGGAATTTCAAAGTTTTAACTGCTGAACCATTGAGAATCCTGGTCCAGCCAATTTAAAA